CGGGCATGGTAATGACAGTGACATGGACATCTTTGACATCATACCATACGTAGGAAATTTCCGTCTTCTCCTGACCTGAGCGCCGGCAGCCCTTCTGCCCTGGACACCAGCACCAACAGCGTGGCTCCCCGCGACGAGCCCTTCCTCGACGCCTCGGAAATCGCCCCGGTTAGTCGCTGTCCTCCGTCGACCATCCCGGGCGCGTCGAGGAGAGACAGCTCGACGGAAACTTCGGCGGGGGGAGCGGACGAAGGACCCCCCTGGGCGCCGCTCAGGGAGACGGATATGGCCAAGCGGTCCCCGCCGAGGAGCTGCGAAGACAGGGGTTCGTCCATCCGCACCTCGCCGCTGGCAACGAGTTCGTCCAGGCTGCTGCCCACCGCCAGCGGGGGGATGTCCGAAGCGCCCAGGATGGTCTCGGCGAAGAGCTGGATCAGGAGAAGGGGCTCCGGGGAGGTTGAGGGGAAGGGTGGGTTGGGCAGGGCAAAGACGAAGGCGCTGTTGCTGAAGTTGGGCACGTTGGAGAGGGCGGAGGTCTCCGTGCGGGCGGCGAGGAGCTGGCCAGGTGCTTGGGGCCCGGTGGGCCGCCAGCCTGGCTGGGCCTGAAGGACCAGGTGGTAGCGTCGCGCGGCCGGGGCGTTGAGGCCGTAGACGCGCACGCGCAGGACCCTGGGTCCCAGCACGCCGGCCGCGCGGCCCTCACTGACGACAGGAATCATGGCGGCTCGACAAGCGGAAAGGCCCCGCCAGAGTTTCCGCCTGTATTCCTTTGTATTTCGAAAGGCAGATTGTGTCGAGGGATTGGAGGCGCTCTGTGGATGTCAGATTGGGGTGGGCTCGCGCTCAGGGCGTCGGGGCGCCTATTGGCGACGAGGCGAGGAGAGCGCCCTGAGGCTGCAGGGGACGACGGTTCTGGGCGACAGATAGTTCGATCTTGAATGCTGGCCGGAGGCATCGTTGACGGTGAGCTGATGACACCGAAAGCAACATCAAAAACAGGGTCAGTATTGCGCGATTATGTAACCCTTCGACGCTGTTCATACTTCTTTTCTTTAAAAAATTGCGTTGCGCAGCTGAACTATTTACTGCTACTTGAATGCTGGACTTTGCGCTGTCGTTTTGAGCTGCTTGAGAGTCCAGGAGTGATGGAGGTTCACCGCCCTGCGCGCTTCCTGCGGCAATTGCGCGTGGATATGGACACCCTTTCGTCTGTGGACGTAAGAAGCACTGGAGGTCCACCGCGGTGCTGCACGCGGCAGGCGGGACGGCCTCCCCATGCCGTTTGGCGCCGACAGTGACCTTCAGACTGGCGGAGAACACACCGCAGGGGGGGCTAAGAGCACAAGAATTCGCCCCATTGTAGCATGGCTAGCATTGCCAGCACATGGTTTACACTCAATCGAACATTGCAGAATTTGAATTGACTCAAATGTTGAACATGGATCACACCGTATTAACACATGAAAACTGGAAAAAGGTCATGGACGCTGCCTTGCTCGGGCGGAACTTGGAGCTGATGTCTGCCTCCTCGCCTAGATATGCAAGGATTCTTGATGGAACTGGATACATTGGATTAAAAACGGACAGGTTCCCGCCGTTGCCGAGGCTGTCCTATGCAACTCGCCAAGTGTCCTCCCGTTCGCCACTTGTTCCATTCGAGTCTCGCAACTCGCTTCAGCATCCGTCCGCCGAGGATTTGTGCCTCCTTTTCTTGCTTTGTCGGAGCAGAAGGAGCAGGCCATTCACTTTCATGGGTGCCCAACAGCGCTTGGCAAAGCCATTTCGGATGCTCTTTTTCATCACCGTCGTCATCATCAATTCTTACATATCAAGGCGAGGGGGCAGCAATCACCTCCTTATTTCGCCCGGCACAGCAGTGTTTATGGATTGTTTCATGAGAACCTAAGGAATTGCCACGATGCTGCTTTTCTCGCGCAAAACAGGGAGTTGGCGGGCACATGTTTGTGATCTGGGTCACCGATCCGAATTGCCAAAGTGCGCAAGAGGCACCCGACAGTGGTGCTCCATCTGCTGAAGAGGTGAATGTACTGGCGAGATGGTAAGAAAACACCATCGCGCACTTGTGCGTTGCTGAGCCCTGGCAATCAGCGAAGGGGGCGCTGTGAAATCACGACCACCCCCAAGAGTTGACCAGTCAGCCTGTGGAAGCGTGAGCGGAGATGTAAGTTGATGCGTGGGTTCCGGCGCGCCCGCTCGGAGTGGAGCCGTCGACATTCGCGTCGCTGGTACGGTGGCATGAGCCTGCAGGCTGATCTGCACTGCCGCAATCGCACAATCGAGGCACGAATCCTGTTGTGCGCATGCACTTGAAAACGATCGTTGCAAACGCCGTGCCTGTGAGTCCATGCCTGGTGTCCGTGCCTTCTACGCTCGGCATGTTTCTTCCGCGAAACTGTGAACAAAGGCGCAAAAACTTGATTGGGAGTGTTGGAGGCGGTTCTAATTATGATTGCACAATTCCTACATGTCTCCAGACCAGTTTTCTGAGCACTCAGTGCTGTTGGGCACATCAAGCCTGTGTTTCGTCATGAGATATGTCCATCGACGCCACGTTCTTTCTGTGAGGATGTTCCTACATGATTTCTTGGCGAACTTCATTTTCCTGGACATCCACAAAAGCAACATGAGCCTCAATCTCCTTCAGCGGTTTCCATCCTTCTGTGCCCAACCTCGTAACTGGCCTTGAACAGGAGCTCCCTCTCCCACCGTTATCACACAATTTTACATAGCAATGCAGGGATGTAGCTATCAGCTTCCCACCTTACCCGAGCAAGGCGGGGTCCATGAAGTCCTCATTGAAAATCGATTTGTTGAAATCCAGAACACGTCAATTCCCAATTTGCGGGAATGTTTTGTGGACGATGATGCATAGAATATGCGTTTTCGCCACGCCTTCAACAGCATTCGCTGAAAACAGCCAATTGGCAACAACTTTGAAGTTTCAGCGTTGTTGCAGCGCCAGTTCGCTCTTTCTTTTGCCCCTGATCGTCATCTTGCAAAGGCGCTTTTTCTGGCCCATTGTCGCAACCACCATTGTCTGAGACGCTGGCATCGAAGTAAGGTACGCCTGCAGCAGTTGCCGCAGAACTTTGCACTCCCACTTGACGGTCATTGACACTGCATTTTAAGCGTGGCACTGCAGCAGACGCCTGCAGGCATACTTGACTTTCAGTCCTCCTCGACTGATGTGTAACAAAATTAATCCACCAGCCCTGTCCCAAACTCCACGGCAGCAAGTGACGGTTGGCGTTCGCGCCTGGGCGAAGCGCGGGCCGGCGCGCTGGATTGCACATTTGCAGTGCTCAAGCCTGCACTATGCGTCGCGCAGAAGAAGGCAGGCAGGGTCGAGGGGTGGCGGCCCCTGACTGGGGATCGTAGGCTCGAGTCCATTGCAACATTTTACAGGCGAGCAAGGTGACAACAGGAATCCCTTCGCTTGTACTCAGTCATTTCATCAATGTCCTTAATGCAATTCCTAATGCCTCATCATCTATTTATGCGTCCATAATACTCAATCAGTTCTAGTTGCAGCAGCGTCCATCCCTCGATCCCTTCCTCAGTGAGTCGCCTGCATTGCTGTCCTCCGTACCTTCATCATGGCTCAGTGCCGGCACTTGTAGACAGGACCGAAATGTCGCTCAGGGGCTTTGTGAGGGCTGCACCGGTGGTTAGTTTCCAAATGCGGTGTGCGCGTTCCGCGGATGCAAGACACCCTTCAGATCCAAGGCTGTCGTTCTCCTCAGTACCACAGCGGTAGATGACAAAACCCTGTCCTGGTGCACCATCACGCTGCTTTTTCATAGGCATGTGCAGCACCTATTCCGATTTGGTGGACAGCTCGCTCCACTACGATTGAAAATATTCGACGATTCAGGGCTTTCATTGGCCAGGGAGCAATCCAGACGAAAGAACCCCAGCAGCAAGTTTGGGAGGCCGAGCAATTCTCCTAAGAAGAGCTCAAGAAATGGAAAGGCACACGGCTGGCTGGTCCAGCGCTTGTGGCATTCGCACAATGGAGCAAACAGGGCACAGCACTGGCGAACTGGCTCATAATGTACTTGTGCCATGTGGCATGGGCGCACATCTGTACATATGGGCTGCAGTCCCTCACCCTGCAACAGTGGGCTCCTCTGTGTAAGGCAAAGAGCAGCAGTGCCACTGGGCACACACCTCGTGCCAAAGTTGTTTCGCTGGATTTGTTGCGCGCCAATAGGTGCGGTCCTGAACCCAGCTGTATCCTCGCTCAGGACCTGAAGCCAGTGCACACGTGGATGTGCTGTGATGTACTGTGGCAATCCTGCAAAACAGTGTTGGTGCGTGCGCCGTGTCCTGCTTCTGGACGTGAGTGAGAACTGTTTTTGCAAAATGGAACATATGTCATGCAACAATGGGCACCCACCAGGTGAGAGATCAAGAAACGAACACCTCTTGAATCGGTGAACATCGGCTTGTGGGCACAGAGGCAGTGCCTTGCTAATTGACCAGATGTGACTAACATGCCTGCCACTGGTCTGTTGCTCACATCCTCATGCACAGACAAGATACCACAGACACTCTTTGTGGGGAGCTCCGTCCATCCATATGAACGTTCAGCGGGCCAGATGGAACAGCGAATGACCGCAAGTTCTTGACACATTCAAAACAGCCCTGCACAACAAAACTACCGGTGTTTCCTTGTCTGACACTTTCCCTTTAGGAGGTGAGCGCCGCTGGGGAAAGCTCAACTTTCAAGAGGCCAATGAGAATCGCAGCAGTGTTCCGAACACCAGCCATTCGTGCACAATTGTGCACCCACCACCAGCACAGTTCCGAAACCAGGAATCCAACCACCCCCTGGGCTTCCCCGCTCCCACCCCCCGCCCAGCAGGCCCCCACCGGAACCGAAAATTCTCTTTACACAATTTTTCTCTTCACACAATTTACAGGTGACTGTATCCTCGCGTCGAAACGGGTCCCACACAGGGCGGCCGGCCCCCGCATCACCACGGCAGCGCCCTGAAGGTCTCCTTGTCCTTGCCGCCCAGCGCCTTCTGCGCCTCGACAATGAACGGCCAGATCGCCAGGCACACGATCGCCGCGGTCACCTCCGGCCCCACCTTGGACGTGTAGATGTTCTCGTGCAGGGGGTCCTTGATGTGCGCCGCGAAGCACGCCACGGGCCCCTTGCCCTGCACGGCGGCCTGGGAGCAGAAGCCGATGAAGGCCAGCATGCCCAGCCGCGCGTTCTTCACCTCCTTCACCATCGTCTCCTCGCTCTTCATGCCCATCGGGTCGAACGGCGCGAAACCCAGCAGCCCGCACTCCCCTGTCTTCTTGAAGATCTCGAACCGCTTGTACTCGAGCGCGCCCATGATCACCACCTGCAGGCCGATCAGCGCCTGCAGCGACAGCGGCGACTGCACGTTGGCGCCCGCCTCCCAGAAGTTCCCAAACCCCAGCAGCTCCGTCATGATGATCCCCGGCACCGCCACCATGGCAAACCTCCCGTTCATCAGCTCAGCCTCGCGGAACCAGGGAAGCAAGTTCTCGTTGGCGCCCAGAGCCAAGGGATCGAATCCGTAGTCACCGGCCATGGTGCCATCCAGGTGGTCGGGAGGAGTGGCGCCCGGGTACCACATCGGCCGATCGGCAGCCATGCGGGTCACGGATCGCGCCGGCCTGCCGGCGGCGGGGCGCAGCGCCGGGCAGCGGCCCGCGAAGGCCGACATCGCGGAGGCGAACATGGCGGCGTGCGGGCGGGGGCTGGGGGCGTGGGGGGAGGCGCGATGGGGATCAGAGGAGGTGGGGGGATTTGCAGCGTGGAGGGAAGGGCCGACAAGATCTGCGGGCCTTTTGCCCAAACCAGATTGCGGGGAGGCGTAGGTAATACCTGAGCTGGCAACGGCGGCAGGCCCACTTGGGAGAAGGTGAGAAATCCACGACCGGCCAGAAACATGGGAAGACCCACGTACTGGAATGTGCCAAGACGTGAGATTTCCACGTTTCAATGATGTGCATGAACTGCAGGCCCTGATAGGTAGGGGTGAGGTGGGGCACTGTGCGACGCTGTGTGTGATTCCTTCCTTGGGCGAGGCATGCTGCTATACTGTGGGTTTTCAAACCTTCCGCATCGAAAAATTTTACAGCTGTGCTTTTTGCGCCACATTCTGTTTTTCGGAACGTTATTTTTGTTATTTTTACTGTGAGGACGTTGTATGTGTACAAGGAGATGTGACATATATGGCGTACATGGTGAATGTGAAAGGTGGAGACGGTGACACTGCATGACAGGATGTGAGTTGGCGTCCAACGCAATACTGCGTATTTGACTTGGAGTGTATTGTGTCAGCCATCCCTTATGGTCTGCCTCCTGTGCCTGGGTACGGCCATGGGCGAAAGTGCGCCGGGCGCTGATCGGCGCTACTCGTCGCGATGGCCCGTTTAACAAAGCAAAATTGTATGAAAACATCATTGTTTTGTTGTCCACAAAAAGGGCCAGGCCTTTCGTTACTATGCGGCAGGGTTTAAAAACAAATATTGCTACTGCAGTAGCCAGAACTGATTGAGCATTGTTAATGGCTGGACGCGCTAAGAGGTGATGAGACAACAGGAACCGAATTGAGGACACTGATGAGCGGACCGGATATAAGGGAAAGAAATCATGTTGTCTCTTTGCTCTGCTGTCGACCGTTGCCATGTACCCGAGCTTATGGTCCCCTGCCATGGGTGCCAAGTGACAAAGGCAGGAAGGGTAGAGGGGTGGCGACCCCTGAATGGATAATGTAGGCTCGATTACACGGCAATGGTTTACAGCAGAGTGAAGGGACAGCAGGAATGCTGTCGCGTATATCTGGTCCGTCATAAATTTCCTCAGTTGAATTCCTATTCCCTCATCACCAGGTTATGTGTCCAACTACTAACAATACTCGATCAGTTCTGGTTACAACAATACAACCACCAACGGGGCAGGAAATAGGACGTTGATGCGACTGGTGCCGATGGACGGGTGGTTGTTTGAATATCAAGGGACATTGCTGTCGATAATCTCTCCGTACCTGTGCTCCCTCAGCTTTGTCTCCGAGCCCGTGGCCATGCCCGCCTGCAACATAGCCCCACCCCGAACCTAGCGTATCAACGTGACCAGGGAATTTTGTGGCGCGGTGTCTGATTCCTTGCTTAGCAATGAATGTTGTTGTATGGCAACAAGCAACGGGGCAAGAACTTGGGCATAAGCGCCCCATGACAAATATCAAAAACGGAAGGCATCAGCGCTGTATTCTGCCATTTGACTATGTGAAGGGGATCGCGATGCTGTGTGGAGGGCAGTTTGCGCTTTTGTGGAGCATGGGGGCCGGAGTCGGTTGGCGGGCGGTGCAGGGGGTGTACGACAGCTGGGTGGTGATGCGGCCAGGGGGAAGGGGATGCCGGTCCTGGTTTTTGCAGGAACTTGAGAATCCCCGTTTCGGCCGGCTCAAAACGTGGGAATACCCACGTATTCAGTTGTGCCACTGCGTGGGATTTCCACGTTTCGACGATATGCAGGACCTGCATCATTGCCCAACAACGACCAGTGCAGGGGTGATCAAGACACTCGTCGCCAAGTACACACAAGGGCAAGAATGTGCAAATCTGCAACGGAGCAAAGGTTGGAGTGCGAAATGTGACCTCCAACAGTGCAATTGATGGTGCGAGATGTGATGCGAATGGACCTGGTTGGAACTTCCAACAAGTACCTACACTTCCAAGTGTGCATGCTCTTGTCGTTCAGTGCGATCAACAAATACACAGAATCATCACTGCCCTGCACTATGCCCACCTCCTGTGCGACAAGTGTCAACTACACACATTTTTGCCACACCAGACCCATGAATTGGGGCCAACACTGTCCAAGATCAAATGAATGGAAACAAGAGAGGCAGATCCCCAAACCCACAATTGATGTGACCAAACGTACACCCTGCAAGGCACCACACCACCAAGAGCAGGGGGCTTCTCATTAAGAAGCATGCTCACAACTCCAATTGAGGAAAGCAGAATCGCTGTCCCACTGCTGCAGGACACTAACACGTTATTTTGTGCACACGTGCAGATTTGCTTCGTCCAGCACAAGATAGGCAGGCCCTGGACGGGTGTCACCCGAAGCTGTCAGCAGCAGCAATCCAGCATGACAGTGGCATTCCAATGCTGTCACCAGCTGGATCATGGCTCCTGTGCCCCGTCGTGCTTTTTTATCATCCATGTCCGAATGAGCAATGGAAATGTGCCTGATATCGCCTTGCAAGTGCAAGGGCGGTGTCCATAGCATGTCTGCGAATGTTGTCACCTAGACTGGCTTCCTATCTCCTGCACCCTCCTCACCAAACCGGTGGATTGCCTCCCCAGGTGCCGGTTCATCTCTCATTGCCTCTCCCCTAGACTGTTTCCTGCGAAAGCTGCACATCTGTTTCGGCACCACATCTGTGCAAGCGCCACCTCCGCAGCCACCCAGTCCACCTCTGATCGACAGCTCGCTGCATCAAGCACAAAGGCACACACTGTTCCTGCAGGCTGTGCTCATGCAAACTAAAATGAACATGCCAACATGATCTAAGCTGATCTATGCCAGTGTAGGTTGCACCGGCCTGCTCGGAAGCAAGCAGCTTGGCTTCGCTCGGGTATCTTGGGGTTGGTGCCCAGTAGTGCCTGGTTGGAATTGAGTCTCAATGCCTGATGCACCTGAAATAGGCGATCCTGCCGCTGAGTGGGTGGCATGGTGGCCTTATCCTTTGTGGCCTGTCCTGCTAGTCCAGGTCTTTGTTCGGCTCAGAGTCTTCGGAGTCGAATGTGGGGACCAGCATTGGCCGCCTACGAACTGCCTCTTCCCCAGTGGTAACAGCAGGAGCAGCCTTCTGGGAAGTCAGGGTGTCCAGCACCTGTGATATTCAACACACATCCTTGGCACATTGCTTGTGGCACAATGAACGAGCAACGAGCATTGTTGAGTGCAGGACAATGAAGGGCAGTTGCTGGTGCTACCGTGCATCACCTACATAGAGCCCCGCAGAATCGCCGCAACAAGAAGTAGCACTCAAGGACGATTTCCGATTTTGATACCAAAATGCTCGATGACATCGAGACTTTACAGCTGTGCACTGGGACGTGCCCCACACAAAGCTGCGCCACAACACCAGCACTGTTGACCTGCATAATGTGTTCTAAGCCTAAAGGCCAAGAAGGGGGCGGGGTGGGGATGGAGGTGGTGCGGTGGTGTGGTGAGGTGGGCGCATGGGTGGGAGAAACAGGCAACTTTGGGGAGGCAGATTTGAAGATCGTGGTCAACATGGCTGTGTTTGAAGGGGGCCCTTGTGGAATTTGAGGCTCGACATGTAGCACTTTTGGCCTGTAACCACTGTGGCCAAGAAGGCGACATCGCAAAGCCACAAAATCTCCCCACAGTTGCCCTCACAGCACATGGTCAACACACGGCTCTTCCCAACAAGACAAAAAAAGACTCATTCATTTGCACTCTGGCCAAAATGGGCCACGTTGCAACCCGAAGCAACCATCAGCCTCCCCATCACCCTACCCCACCCCAGTGCCCCCTTTTTCGACAACAGGCCCTACAGTGCTGCTGGCCGCACGCCTGAGCACGGCTGCTCAGTCCCCACACCCCCACATGCCGCTCTCTGCCCAACTTCCTCTCCACAACACCGGGGACTCTACTTCATCTGCTCACAGCACGGAAGAGAGTCTATCCCACACTTGCTAAGGAGGGGGTGCCATCTGGGCAAAGGGAGCGCTCACATCATACTCTCACGCACCTGCTCAGGAGGGCTGCCCTTTGTATGACCCACTTCTCTTTTTCTTTTTGACAAAACTTGCCATCCAGGCAGTGGGGCTGCATGTCCCATCCTATCCAATCCCACCCATCCCCAGTGGGACCCAGGCAGGAGTTGACCGCGAAATAACCGTGCACGCCCGCTCACCAGCACGGGAAGCCCCCTGAGTGCATGTTTTCTTGCCTTTTGTGTCGCTTTTGTGCTTGCGTGCTGTGTACTCATCATTTCGCGCCTGAAAATTGACATCATTTTTCACGGTATGGAATACAGTCTGACTGGTTCAGGAAGGGGTGCCCTCCGCGTGTTCCTCTTGTCCTTGTAAAAAATCTTGTCCCGGTTAAGGGGACAAACACAGACATCCCATACCATCCAGACAGCAAGATGGGCTTTTGTTTATTGTCTTGTTACATTTTTTACATTTGTTGTGAGACAAAACAAAAGCCCATCTTGCGTTCTGGATGATATGGGATGTCTGTGATTGTCCCCTTAATCGGGGTAAGATTTGTTACAAAGAGAAAGCCAAAAGTAATGAACACAGGGATTACCACACACAGCAAGATGGCCAAAAAGGACCACGCCACGCCCCCTGGCGCCCCACACGCGGCCGCTATCCACCGCCCCGCGCACCGATCGTGCCTCCTCCTGCGCGCCACTCGCCGCCTTGAAGTAGGCCAGATTGGCCTCCTCGGCCGCGCGCTCGGCTGCATCGGGATCCGGCCGGCTGGCCGCCGCCAGGGCCGCCCTCCTGCGCCGCCGGCGCTTGCGGCTGGTCTTGGCCCTCGCCGCCTGCCGCGCCGCGTCCGCCTCGAGGAGCTCGCGCAGCTGGCGCTTCAGCACGCGCGCCGACATCGGGGCGTTGGCGGGCTGGAGTTTGGTGGCAGCGCGGCCGGGGAAGACGCGCAAGCAAGGGAGAACATCAAACCCTG